TGTAATTTGAATTTCTTTTATTGTTGATTTATTCAGTATAATTACTTACAACTGTACCATGTTCAGCGCTTTGGGCTTCCTGACAGGGTTGCGGAAGGCGCTTTATAAATAAAGCTTTGATTGATTGATTGATTGATTGCTCGACCCGAGCAGCTCTCTTTTTCTGTGATTTTACAGAAAAATAGGCAATCACAGTAAAAATGCCAGGGCTCATTTTACAGGACCAGGGCATTGCAGGAGAATGTATGAAGAAGAAATTTATTATTTCTATACATGTTTTGGCTGTCAAACTTCCATAATGCCCCTTTAATAATGCACTAAGAAACGTTAATAAAGGGACTCTCCTTGTAAGGTGTATTAATTATGTGGGCTCATGTGTTTCTTCTTCTTACGGCTCTTGGAGAGTACAGACGCTTTTTTCTCGTCTCCCTCCCTCCTCATCCCAAGGCTCTTTGTCGTGTCTGTGCACAACGCTTTCTGCATTTTTTCTGGAAACTGGAAATTATTAAAAATGGATCTGGTCAGTTGGTCTCTCAACGCGAGTGACAACATTTTTTCAATAATGAGAGGGACAGAGCCAGCTGGGTATATCATGGATTCCTGGGAAAAAGTGGAACCTGATATGCCTCTCTCAACTGTCTGTAGAGAATTCTGAAGATATTTGGATATTCTTCGTTTTGGTGTTGGGATCCCTGCTGTTTGGCCTGAGCGGTTACCTGGCTTACCGGAAAATTAACGAGCTTTCAAGAAATATTGGCTCAATCCCGGAGCTCAGGGATGTAATGCATCGTGCTGTGAACAGTGTTGGGAGTAATGCGGTACAAAAGTAATTAATTACTGTAATGCATTGCTTTTTGCTGTAATGTGGTAATGTAAGGCATTACAGGGAAAGAAAATGGTAATATTTACTCAGTACCATTGTCAGTAACGCGGTAATTACAATGCATTTTTAAACCCAGAATCAAGGTGTTCCTTAAAAATTCAAATTGCGGTAAACCCGAAGAAAGATCCAGTATCTGCATATATTACGTCATTTATGGACTCAGCTTTGCGGGCAGAGAGGACGCAGCGGTAACGGCTCAACTACTCCAGCTGCGTCCTGCACGCGGCCGCTGCAACATTCACAAAATCGCTCCACTAAAACAAAATAATTCACTTGCGATAGTTCATGTCAGCGCATATTCTCTGGTATTTTGTGCTTTTCTGACGTGCTTTGCCTCAGCTGAGTTCATAATCTGTGCCCCGGTGATTTCAACTCATTACTGCTGGAGCGCCGCGCATGTGAAGATCCCTTTGGCTGATCGTTAGAAAGTAGGAAGTCTAGGAAACAGTTTTTTTCTTGAAGACGGAGAAAACATGCAGCATGCAGGAAGGTTAGAGAGAGAAAGGGCAGCAAATTGTTCAAATAAAATCAAGAAAAAAGTAGGTAGATTTATCCCCAATACACATTTTTACCAGTGAAAAGCAATAATATATAAGCATTTAATATTTATACATGTGATAGAATCAGATCACCACAGAAGTCAGTTCCACATCCAGGGCCGTATCAAGGCGTTTGGGGACCAAGGCAAATATAGGCTTGGAGCTCCCACCACCTCACTCTGCTCAGTTAATATAAGATGGCAGCGTGCTGAGAGTACAGATTGTTGTTGCTTTTATTTAATAAACAATCATTTTACAGCACTGTTATTATATCTGACTGTTTTTAACAGCAATCCTAGCTCAGACACCACATCACTTTCCACATATATGTCATGAGCTCACTGAGCGTCACATGACCAGATTCATATTGAAGTTGTTTTAGTGAAAGTAACTTAACGTAATGCAAAAGTAGTGTAATGCCTTACATTTTAAAATCAGTAATATTGTAATGTAATGAATTACTTTAAAATGAGGGTAACAAGTAATAAATAATGCATTATAGTTTTGAAGTAACTTGCCCAACACTGGCTGTGAACGCACAAACTCATAATTGTCGAGATGAGTTGTAAGCTTGGAACTTTGGCTGAGATTCAGGCTCTGGCACAGAAGGTGGATACCATCAAGGAGCGAGTGGACAGATCAGCACAGATTGAGATAGATTATTTACTCCATCATTGGATCTAGAGGGGTTGTAGACCAACAGAACCCTACGGCAGAGAGGAAATTATCTGTGTCTGTCCCCAAAACAACTTTTATCCGATTTTATCTGGTGCCCTTGGAACCTGTGAGGCTGAAGTGAAGACTCCCCCCTCAGAAGAAATGTGAAATGCTGTCGTTGCTATGGAAACTCTTTCTCTCTATCCCAGCCTTGGCGGGACTGTGACCGGTGAAGGCCGTGGAACTAAATCTAGGAGTCACTGTGCCCTCTAACCCATTATCTCCCTCCCCTGTCCAAATGGAGGTGATGAGAGCTGCTCCATGTGGCTTCACGCATTGAAGTGAGTCCCAACCCTACCTCCCCACCTAGTGGACACTTATGTTGTGTAATGCCTGAAGTCTCTGTGCATATCTGTCTGAGGTGTTTTTTGCATAGCAAAGCTACCCTCTCTGTGGAGGGTAACTCTGAAGTGCATTTTTTTCCCTCCCCCTGACTCTATCCTCATATAAACCCTCTTGATCTATTAAGGTAGCGCGACTCGGGTTGTGAATGACCACAGTCACCAATTCTTGTCATGTGTCTGTGTATGTATGTCTGATCTCAGAATCGTGTGTACTGAAACTCTTAATTTCCCTCTGAGATTAATAAAGTATTTGAATTGAATGAAAACTCACAACACTGCAGGTTTATGGAAAAACATTACTGCATTTAAGTAAGTACACACATAACATAACTTAATATTCTCTCTCTCCTGATAATATTTTACTTTCTTTGACATGGAATGTGCTACTACTAGTTCATCTGTTGAATTAATTAGATTAACTAAGATAAAGACAATAAAGTTGATCTCTTACTAAATTGAATATTTACTAAGAAATAACAATGTAGCCATAGAATACTACTTGGTGTGTGTGTGTGTGTGTGTGTGTGTGTGTGTGTGTGTGTGTGTGTGTGTGTGTGTGTGTGTGTGTGTCTTCTCGATCACCAGTGAGTCATGGTGGATGGCTGCTTATACTGAGCCAGGATCCTCTTGAGGTTTCTTGCTGTTAAAAGGGAGTTTTCCACTCCACTGTCGCTAAATGCTCAGTATGAGGATTGCTGTAAAGTCACTGACACTAGTCAGTGACTTGATGAAATTTGCTGGGTTCCTTACATAGGAAACTTTTTACTGATTGGCTTAATGAACTGACCTGTATTGGAATGTTAACTTTGTGAAGGGCCCTGAGACGACTCTTGCCGTGATTTGGTGCTATATAAATACCATACCAACCTTATTTCTATAGCACAATTTAAGACACAGCGTGAGAGCTGACCAAAGTGCTGAACAGGCAGGATCAATTAAAACAAAAATAAAAACAATAAAAAGATAAAACACAACAATAAAAATTATAAAACCATAATATGATAACATGAATCACTGTCTAAAAGCCAAGTCATAAAAGTAGGTTTTTAAACGAGATCTAAAAACAGGCAGAGAGGATTGAATTGAACTGAATAAGTGGACTTTCCCAAATACACATAGTATACACAGAGTTGGAGGTTGGATAACTCAAATAATAAATTAAACAAGTCCTTTTTTTATTTCTATTTAAATATTGTGTAGAATTCTCAGGATGCTCCCTACTAGTCCATTCTGTTAATGAAAGAAAATCTACTGAATGATGCCATTGATCTGCATCAATACATGTTAGTAAAGTGATTATAAATAAAAAAAAATTATACCACTTTGTGGATTATTGGTTTACTGAACAAAATCTGGGGCAGCTCCTTTAGCCCCAAAATTAATTATGTTGGAATGAAACTCACTCCAGTAGCTCAGAGAATGTGTTTACCCTATAAATTCATTAGTTTAAGACTGGTACATTTTTCTTTCTTTTTTTGTAAAACTAAAAAAACCTTTTTTGTCTAAACACTTTTGAGACTGAGTCAACTAAAACTGATTAAGACTAAAATGCTTTTGTGTCATTGAGACGCAGACTATAACTAAGATGCCCGTCAAAAACGTCACTGACTTGCATTCATTCTTTAATAGTTCTGGGGACGAATGAGCCGACCGGAAGGGGAGGAGACTTAGCCTCCCTGAACTTGAAATCCTGAATGATCAAACATCAAACACACATGCACACTTAAATAAATAAAGCTAATCAAAGTGGTTTGAAAGTGGTTGCCTGGTGCCATTTAAAATCTCCCAAAGTGTGGCTGAGTAATAAAGTGTATGTGAGAGAAGCATCAGTGCTGGAAATTTGGCTCCTCGTTGCTAATGGGAACCAGAGTTGCTTCTGTCAGTTGCAGGCTGTGGGCGGGATTGTTTCTGATCACAAAGTTGTGTCCATAACTGCTTATACTTCAGCATTTCAGTAGGCTTGCCAGAAAAAAATAAAATAAAAAAGAGGTTCACAAATTATACTTCTGCGCCTGATTTGACCTGACAAGTGAGGGGCATGGTTCCAGATTGCTTTACTGTATTATATGATATAAGCAGCTCATAATTTGTCTCCTTTAGTCATGTGGGCTGTCTAAAAGTCAGAACCAACCAAAGTAAATAACTTATTTGCAAATCCTGACGGACGTAAACTAGCTGTTTTATTTGTTTGAAGTTAAATCAGATATAATGAAATAAAAAGAATATTGAAAACAGTTTAGTTTATATTGGCTTCATGATACATTTGTGAGGTGATTTAAGTCATTTACAATGTCAGTTGTGTGACAAGTAAAACAAACTCAAGAGTGTTTATTTCTTCCTTTGAATGACTGTTGGTTTCTGTGGAGTCTCACTTTAATCAGAAACCTGACACCATGTGTACACTATCTTAATTAGTTTAAATTCTCTTTGATTTTCCCACTAGCTCATTTTAGTCATGCTTGTACTGTGAATGGATGAAAAGCTAATTTCAGTTTGTTTCCCTTTGTCTCCGCGAAGGTACGACGAGGCTAACAAGCACTACGATGCTATTCTTGAAGATGATCCCACCAATACGGTAAGAACAAGAAAGGGAAAAGTCCTGCTTAGCATCACATGCTACCTCACTTAGTGATCTCAGGTTTTTGACCAGCTCTAAATCTGACAGGGCACTTTGGTGTTAGCAGTCTGAGTTATTGAAGTTAAAGTCCCTTGGCCTTTCTGCCCTCTGCTGCAACACTGATCAGCCACACAGCATAAAACTGTTGAAGCTTGAGAGCTGGGTGGTTGGGGTGATTCATGAACTTAGTTAGTGTTCGATATGTTTGGGGGGTAGTAAGACGTTTGTAAGGGTCTAGTCTTTGAAGATGATGATTTATCAGACCTTTCAGACTCGCTCCCATTCCACCTCCTCTTTTGTCTTTCATTGAGTGCAGGTGCATTTGTTTTGTAGTGAAACTCGGTAACACAAACAGTTGTGAAATAATTTTGGTGTCTCTGTACTTTTTGCTGTCATCTTCTCTAATCCCACTGTTAATCACTGTGAAGAGACTTGATGTTACAATCCCATATCACTGACTTATAAAGTTTTCATTCGCTGAGAAACTAACACAGGCGAAGGTCAAAAGGTTATTATTTCAGTAATTCCATTTAAAAAGTAAAATTTGTATATTAGATTAATTCATTACACAGACTGATATGTTTCAATTTATTTATTTTATTTTAATGAATGTAACTTACAACTAATAAAAATCCCAAATTTTGTATCTCAGAATTTTAGAATATCAATTAAAAGCGGCGTAGCATGGAGTCTGGATCTGTCTCTGGCACTGCTCAAGTGTTATGAGAGCCCACGTTGCTCTGATCATGGCCTTCAGCTTTTCTGAATTGTTGGGTCTGCGTGTTGCATCTTCTTCTTTACAATACTACATAGATTTTCCATGGGGTAATGATCAGGTGAGTTTGCTGGCTAATCAAGAACAATACCATACTATGGTCCTTAAACCAGGTCCTGGTAGCTTTGGCACTGTGTGCAGGTGCCAAGTCCTGTTGGAAAAGGAAATCTGCATCTATAAAGTTGGTCAGCAGCAGGAAGCATGAAGTGCCCTAAAATTTCCTGGTAAATGGCTGCATTGTCGTTGGACCTCAGAAAACACAATGAACTAGGAGTGCAACGGATCATAGATCCGTGATCCGTATGAATCTCTCTTTACGGTTCGGCACACACGCGAACAACGGTGTTCGTGTAAAATACAATAATGATACAAACGGCAAAAATTAACACGCGCCTCCAGTCTGACAGTGCGGCGCGGCGCTGCACACATACCTCCAATCACTGTGAAAGGAGGGAGGATGTAGTGTGTGAAACATGCCTTGGACATAACATCAACGTGGTGGGACCTGTAAATATTGTTGGGGGCAAAGCTGTAAAAGAGGACAAAAGAAAAATAAACAGCGCATCATTAATTTAAGCAGGAGACGAGTAAAAGCTGAACATGAAGAGAGTGTGTCCAAATAAGCAAGCCATTTTAAGATTTAATCAGCAATAGGGCCTCTCGGTAACTCCTGCTTTTATAGCAAGTTGCAAATTGAGTGTTCTACAAAATAAAAAGATAGAGCAAAGCTATTTGTTTTTTTTTTTTCTTTTTCTTTTTCTTTCTGCTGATCTGAAAACGACCCAATGCATGACTAAAAAACCCTGGTATGATCCAAACCATGACATTGTTCATCCATCACACCACTACAATGGACCAACACCAGCAGATGGCATGAGACCCCAAACCATCACTAAAATTTTCCCTGGACCTCAAGCAATGTAGATTCTGTGCCTCTCCTCTCTTCCTCCAGACTCTGGGACCTTGATTTCCAAAGGAAATGCTAAATTTACTTTCATCAGAGAACATCACTATGGACCACTCGACAGTAGTCCAGTCCTTTTTGTCTTTAGCCCAGGTGAGATGCTTATGATGATGTCTGTTGTTCAAGAGTGGCTTGACACAAGAATGCAACATCTGAAACTCATGTCTTGCATACATCTGTGTGTGGTGGTTCTTGAAGCACTGACTTCAGCTGCAGTCCACTCTTTGTGAATCTTCTCCACATTTTTGAATGTTTTTTTTTTCACAATCCCCTCCAGGGTGCAATTATCCCTATTGTTTGTACACTTTTTTTCTACCACATTTTGTCCTTCCCTTTGCCTCTCTTAATGTGCTTGGACACAGAGCTCTGTGAACAGACAGGCTCTTTAGCAGTGACCTTTTGTGCCTTGCCCTCTTTGTACAAGGTGTCAGTGGTTGTCTTTTGGACCACTGTCAAGTCAGCAGTCTTCCCATGACAGTGTAGCCTGCAGAACTATTTTAATGTTCTGAGAATTTTGGATTTTCATCAGTTGTCAGTTATAATTATCAAAATTAAAAGAAAAAAAACATTTGAAATATATCATTCTGTGTGTAATGAATTAATCTAATACACAATTTTCACTTTTTGAATGGAATTACTGAAATTACCATGTCATGTGAGGGCATGGATGTTCATATAGGGAACGTAAGTCACGCTCATCTACTTCCACACCATGGGTCCCCGGAAGAATGAAAAAATGAATGCAAGTCAATGGGGCTAAAAACGCTATTTTCTAATTCCGCTTATTTTGTGCATGCAACAATTTAGGTATCTACTCGCCAGAAAAAATATGTACTGTCACTTTAAACACGAGTTCTCAGCAATCACCTTGTTTCACTGGGAAAGTTACTACTGTCTGGCACCACGATGAACCTTCAACTAGAATCAGGGTCCTGAATCATCCTGCTGAAAGCGCTACAAAATGGAAACATGTCAAATGTGGAAATGTTTATTCATAGTTATCTTAAGTACAAGTTGGGAGCTCCCATACTTAAAGGTATGGAACAACAACCATATTACATATTTATCCCAAGTACTCTATCAGTGGGTTGCTCTATAGAATATTTAATTAGTTAAGAATGGGATAACTGCAGCCAGCCTTCAGCTCTTCTTGGCTTTAATTTGTGCTGATTGAAATGACATAATTTTTTAACTTATTTTATGCATAGCTAATTCATAATAATAAAAAAAAAGTAATCACTTTTTGTTTAATATCTTTGCTTTACAATACATGGCAAGTTTTATCCACTGTTTTGACAAAGGGAGTAGTAAATGGTGTGAATCCCATGGCACCTCCCGGACATGGCACAGATCCGCAGGGAACACCTTGGAAAGGGAACGACCCATTTCCTGGTCTCTGCATATTGATGACTGCAACCTTTTTTTTTTCTTTTCTTTTTTAGCTTGAACTGTCAATCAAACCTAGGATGTGGAAGGGAACAAAACACACAAATGTTTCCCGTACCTGGGATGTAACTTTGTGACTTTTTCCCACAATTATTCTCCTTAAAAAGGGTATTAGTGGAGTGTGGTGCAAAGATATGATGACATCATTTAGGCCACCTGTCTTGGGGTAAGGATGGTTTCTATCCTACATGCTCTCCACATAGCAGGAGATTGGGCTGGAGATGGGCCTGAGAAATGGCGGAAAATTGGCAACTAGGAGCAGGACTTGCAAGGCATCTCAGCATGTGAAGCAGAGATTGGAAAGTGAGCTGTTGTAATTACAGACTGTGGAATAGATGTGGTACACATTAACCAAAATCGTTGAATCAACAAAAATTGCTCAAGTCTTTCTGTTTTTTTGCCATGGTGCTTTTCAAAAAAATGGTTCAGTCTCTTAGCCCTTCCATTGCTTGCTGTGTTCCAATACCCACATCAATGTGCTGGCAAAAGTCTTGTCTGTGTTTAAATTTATTTATTTTTTATCTTTTACTTTTTGTTTTAGACTGCTCTGCACCCACAATATTTCAATACAAGAATGCAACAAACTTTTAAAACTTAGTAGATCCACTGATAACTTGGTCAAACCTAAATGAAGCATTTCAGGTCTCATTAAACATGAAGTACCTTACTGAAAAGAGCAAATTGTTAATTTGTGGAAGTGGGTCTGTTCATTTTTGTTTATACAAAAGATAAAAAAAAATTGTTTGTTGAAATAAAAGAAAAGCTTCAAATGATCTGGATTTGATTGGTTAGTTGTTTTCTAGACTTTTGATCTTGAAGAGAAATGTTAGTAAATCATCAGCAACAAGAATAAAATACGGGTCCCTCCGTTTCTGGTAGTGCTCGATGTGTTTAGTCAGGTTTCATGGGCGTTAAACACAAGTCTGCTTTTTAATAAGGGGGCTGTTTACAATAAGATTAGATGAATGAGAAAGACATGATTAGTATAAACAAATACTTAATGTTGTACTCAACCTTTTCCATTAGAAAAATATTTGAATTTATCTTCATTATTTGGTAAACTCGCATCAATAATATTCTTCACATTTTTTTTTAGAAGGCTATCTGCATAAATTCCTATGCAATGTTGACAGGCCAAACCTTTTCTTATCTTTGAGCTGCAGGGGAGGCCTGCAAATAGCCTGTGAGCCACCTTTGGACACCCCCGATGTACAGAATATATCAATGATAATGATGGCCAGACAAATTCATATCTGAGCATGCAAGGTGAAAACTGTCAGTCAACAGAAGTGAACGTCTGGTAAAAATGATATTAGGCATATTTGTAATTCTTAGTCAGGACAAGTTCTCATTTGATTTCCCTTTTGACTCCATTTACGCTAAAAGCCTTTGAAGGATATTCAGCAGCAGTTGAGCACAAAGTGTTTGGAATCAAAATGTGGTGTAGGTAAAAGCCTGGTCATTTCAGTGTCTATTTTTTGTTTTATGAAGACTTTGTTTTGCTATCTGTGGGCTTTTTATCTCCTTGAGGCTACATAGTGCTTGTCAGTTGAGGATGTAGCCTCTCAGCAGGACTAGATTCCATCTCGATGGTTAAGTGGATTCCTTGTGATGGCATTGTCAGAGAAGGCCCTAATTTACAGTCCCCTGGACATGACTCAAACACAGTTCTTAATTGCTTTGGTTATGACTATTGGAGAGGAAGTCCCACTCAATCAAGTGGCAGTTCATAAATAAAATCGTGTGGCGGGGCAGTGCACCCCTAATGGAGCAGCAGCCTCCTGTTAAGCTTTTCACTTACTTTCAAAAGAAGACGGAGGAGGAGTCGGGTAAAGGGGAGTCAAATATTTGGAAAAGTCAGAGCAGCAGAAGTAATGCTGTCTAATTCAGATTGATGAGATTCTAATCCACCTTTAGGTCAGTTCAGCTTCAAAACGAAGGAACGGAAAGGAAAGTCATTTGCAGCTGATTTAAATCGGGCTTGTGCAGCACTGGATGTGTGCTATGCCGACAGGAAGACAGGCGTTGGGGTTTGGGGGAGTGTGCCATTTTCCCCACTTGGTAAGGGGGATGAGTCACCACTTTTATCTCAGCCACTGAGCTCATTCCAGCTACCAAACTTTGACCCATGATGTGTGCCCATCTCCTGCTACACATGGCCTTAAATTATCCTTCTATTATGCCATTGCTGACTTATTTTATTTGAGAACCACATTAATTATGTTGGAAGCTTATTGAAGGTATCTTCTATTGTGTTATATGTTTCCATGGTTACATGACAGTTTTGGCTTCTCTTTTAAGTAATTATTTAGTCAAACAGCAAAGGCCAAGGATGGATCGTGGTGCACCGAAGAGACACAACTTGAACTTGCCCAAGCTTTTTTCCCCCTCACACAAACACTTAAGGAGTTGAGGTTCTAATCCGGTTTATTCTCTTGTCTACAGGCAGCAAGGAAACGCAAGATTTCAATACTGAAAGCCCAGGGAAAGAACGGAGAAGCCATAAGGGAGCTCAACGAGTATCTGGAGCAGTAAGTGTTGTACTAGAGGTGGAGAGGATCAGCAACCCCTTCCTTTTCATTTCCTCTGGCTTTTAATTTAATTAAAAAGGAGTTCTTTCAATAGAGCTTACAAATCCAGGCCTTTATTGTTTTCATTGTTAAAAAAGTTGGCTTGATTTCAATATTTTTGTAACAAATACTTTAACTTTATGGTTTGAAAAAGAACACGATGTCCATGTCTGCTTTCAGGTTTGTTGGGGACCAAGAGGCGTGGCATGAGTTATCAGAGCTGTACATCAATGAACATGAGTAAAGATATTTTTATTGTTTTTGTTGGAAGTGTGTTTTCATTTTGAACTTGTGTATTCAAGGACAAATTTTCAATTTCTTATAGTGGAAAGTGCAAAAAATGATAAAAGGTTCATGCTTGTCACGTAGTTTAATAACGTTTTGTGCCTAATCTGGTTTTTCCACTTGATTCGTAAGCAGAGCAAAGCATAATACACAGCTAATAGTGGCTATTATAGTCGATGAATTGGTTTGCACCGGGTGTGTAATACCGGCGCGTATCGGACCCTGGAGCATAGCATTGTGGCACTCACATGATCTTGCAATTCGCCTGTGATTCTATGACCTCAGGATCAGGTGCGTGGAATACATTTGCAGGCAGGAGGGAACTTGCTGAGATCAGTTTAAAATGCTTATATATATATATATATATATACGTATGTATATATATATATATATATATATATGTATGTATATATATATATATATATGTATGTATGTATATATATATGTTTATTTTTTTAACACGTGGTGGAAATCCAGGATTAGACCCCTCTTTATTGTACTGTTCTAATGTTTTAGTTGTCAAAGACAGTTACTCCGGGTTTCCACGGGAGCCGTCAGCAGCACGTTACTGCAGCAGCACGTCTTGCTCGCGTAAGTTGCTGCTCGGCCCTTCCCACGAGACGCGAAGCAGCAGGGGAGCAGCTGTCACCGACCGAGCACGAAGTCACACGAGTGACTTCGTCAGTAAACACAACAACAAGCAGGAGAAAATTGCAACATGGTTTGTGTTTTATGTTCTGTCCGTTTTATAATCGCCAATACGGACCTGAAAAACAAAGGAGACCGCTAGCTAGGTGATAACTTCTCACTGGGACGCACAGTTATTAACCTTTTTTAAAAGTAAAGCAACCGGAAGGCAGTACGTTCTTTATTCTGAAAATCTCGGTAGCTTCTCTCCATTTCCCCGTCCGATTTCCTGTCTTTCCTTCCCCAAAAATGTCGAACTTGACCCGTTTCAGAGGCGTCGCGCGTAGAAAATAGAACCGGCGCGTAAAGGCTGCGACATGCTGCTCCTGAGACACGGCCGACTCGCGCTGCCGACGGCTCGAGTGGAAAAGGTTCTGTTGATCACAGTGGTTCCTATCAGCAGCTATGACGTGCTGCTGCAGTAACGTGCTGCTGACGGCTCCCGTGGAAAGCCGGGGTAAAATAGATGTAGCATTGCAGCAACAACAAACAAACATTTGTTTATTTTACTTTTTATGACCACAGTTCAGAAATCAATGTAGCTCTGGATCAAGTTTGACTCTGTTTTGTATAGATTAATGTGTGTATATGGACGCGACCGTCTGTGTGGTTGCTCTGGTAGAGAGGCAGCATCATCAGGAATGTGTTGCACAGTTAGAAGGCTACTTATTGGATATTTTGCGCCATTGTCTGGGAGGCTGTAGTAGCCAGAGGAAATCCAAGGGTGAGACCATTATCTGGCAGCTAATCCCAACACTTCTAATATCACACCATTCACTCCCACAGCCCTTATCTACAGGCGTGTCAATTTCTTTTCATTCTTTCCTTTATTTTGGGTTACAAGCTCTGTTTCCCCACCTCCGCCTCCTCTGGACAGCTAGGCATTATCACACTTGTTTCCAGAGTGATGGAGATGGGGAACACTTGCTGTGAAATTCCCAGGAGAAGGTGGTGTTCCTCCTGCCCTTCTCCAGTCAGAGAAAACACAGGTTGTTGGTGAATTAGAGAAATAAACTCGCCGTGTTGCACCCTGAGAGCTAATATCAGCTGCTGTTAGAGTTGTAGTGTCAGCATCAACACGTTAAGAATGTAACTGATATCCTCTGAGTTTACACCACTTAAACCCTATGTGTGTTTGCAAGTATAGCTTGAATCTGCTACTCTGAATTTGATCCAAATTCTTTAAACAGTTGTCCAAAATTGAATGTTAAACCGTAATAACATTTTCAAATATATTTTTCAAATCTAAATCAATTTTTGTTTTCTGCATTGTCAGAGTGTGGTAATGAAATGTTAAAAAGCCACCGCTGATGGTTTTACTAACATCCAAAAGAAACAAATGCAATTCCCTCTGGCTCACACACTATTAGCTACAGCCTTGCTAGAGCGGTCTGGTGGAGAGTTAGCTCTGGAGCCATTCTTGGGAGTGGCCTGGTGGTGTTGGGGGTGTTAAGGAGCACAGGAGGTACAATTCTGGATGTGGCACAAGATTCTGCTTGATGGCTGATGGAGCAAGCTATGTAGCAGGCCAGCAGGCTGCTGCACGAGCACATCTGAAAGTCTTTATGGAAAGGAAGTGGTAATTGTAAGAAGCCCCCCCCGCCAAAACCCTCACAACCCCTCTCTGATCTCCCCCTCTACTCAACTCCTTACCCACTGTTTATTTCTTTCTGTGTTCCAATCTTCCTCTGTCGGCTGTGCTATTCTGCTAGTTACAATGGACAGCTTCATGCATGTTCAGCATTTGGGTTATGTTTCTCTCCAAAGAAAAATAACATCCCAGAATTTTTCAAATTCCAGGAAAACAAAAAGCAAAATCTTATTTTGTGTGTGTGTGAGAGAGAGAGAGAGAGAGGGGGGGGGGGGGGGGGGGGCTGCCTGTATTTTGTTAGCTGTAGAGACATTTATGGCTTTCTGCTTAATAATATACTATATCATAGCTGCTTTTGGTAAAAGGAAAACTATTAGAAGTGGAAATCACTGCAGATTAGTGTGAGGTCAGCAGCTCAGCAGTGTGCTTCTGAGAAGTGATCTCATCTGAATATGGGTACAGTATGCCAGCTCTTTTCGTAGTGCTGACCTCAGGAAGGTAGTTAACTACACATTAAAGGCAAGAAAAACATACAGACGTACAAGATTGATCCTCTGTGTCCTCGGAGGAGGGCAAATCACCACAGTAGACAGGCTTTACCTTTCACAGCTGTCGGCACTTAGCCTGTAAATAAACCATGTCATCTGCTGGATCTTTGAACATTCCTGCTACCTCTATTGTCAGTCACCTATAAACAAACTGTAGGTCCAGTTCAGATTAATGTCTGTAAATGTATTAGGCATAGATGTTGTGTTGAAAGAGCCCTGTGAGCTAAAGAATGTCTCCTCCAGAGCTGTATCAATAAACTTTGTGTTTGCCTTATTGTTGCAGCTATGGAAAAGCTGCATTTTGTCTGGAGGAGCTGATGATGACCAACCCTCACAATCATTTGTACTGTGAACAGTACGCTGAGGTAGGTACTTCTGTGTCAAGCAGTAGGGCTGGGTGATATGGTCTCAGATAATATCACAATATATTGAACAGTTCACCTCAATAAAGCTAAATGAACAATAGCTATCCATACAGTGGCAGTTAGAGGGAGCGGTGGTAGATTTGGTTGACGATAAGCCTGTTCTCAAGTAAAATCTTTCAACAACCTGTTGTACATTTTGGATTTGGTCACTGCCGCCTGCCTCAGCCGGTCACTACCCGCTATACCTGCCCACTTATCTGGCAGGCCATCCCATACACTCACCTAAAGGATTTTTAGGAACACCGTTTCAACTTCTCCTTATTGCATTTATCTAATCAACCAATCACATGGCAGTTGCTTCAATGCATTTAGGGTTGTGGTCCTGGTCAAGACAATCTCCTGAACTCCAAACTGAATGTCAGAATGGGAAAGAAAGGTGATTTAATCTACTGTTTTTCAAACTTCCTGCACACAGTTGGACAGTACTAGGACCAATCAGTGCAATAAACAATGTTGTCACCACCCTTCTGCCCTGCCAAACTTCACAGGGGCACGTGGCTCATTGTGGACGTATATGTCTATGGAAATCAGTAAACGAGGGAGTTTGCCATGCACCATCAAAGAAAAGGCAAATACATCCTTTTTTTTAAAATTATTTCACAAATCACAAACTATGTTTTAAGGACTCTGCCATTAGTGGGAAATGAGCTAGTCCAGGTTTGATTTGTCCAGGTCGTTGTAGTTTCATAATAGAAGCAGATTAAAGATGCTCAGGGAGTGAAAAAGTGATTGGATTTGCCACTAAAAGTACCAGTAGTACTTTTAGATTTATTTGTTTATTTTTTTAATTTTCCACCAGCATTAACTTCCCATTGAAAAAATAGTCCAACTCTTAATGTAATAGTTAGTTTTTTTTCTTGTTGTTTTTAAAACTTAAAAATAACAAAATGGTGTTTTGTTTTTAATTTTAATTTTTTTCCTAATCGACAACTTTAACTCATTCACTGCCAGCCGTTCCTGATCAGAAAAGCCCTTTGCTGCCAGCGTTTTTCAGAGTTTTTACTGTTTTTTAAGAGTCACAGAACGGTGCGCGCTTTGGCTGATGACAGTAGGATCAAACCACTTTTGAGGCGGGGGAAGTTTGCTGCTTTTCTTTTTGTTAAAATTTTACATTTCAGCCAAGCTACTTTTTATATTTTACTAGTGTGTTTTTAAAAACGCACATAGTGAAAAAAAAATTCATTCGTGGTTTACTCATTTAGTCAATATATTTGCAGTGTTCTCTAGTGCAAATCAATGCCTTTTGAGTAAAAAAAAAAAGCTATGATGTTTTGGTTCTGAGATGCAGGAGTTTGCTGGTGTAGAGGTGGGCTGAAAACAGCAGGATTTCTCATTATTATAAATTATTTGCACACATCTTGCTTCTGATTTGTAAACAGAATGCGTTCGGCTATGTTGCAAAGTCACCAACACACTTCTTTCTCTCCTCGCTGCAAAGAAATAAAAAAAGCCTTCCTGTGGGCAGGCGTGAGCCAAGATGGGCGAGGCCATGCATGCAAATTCACAGTGTGACATCACAGTGTGAGGATTTTCTAATCCTAGCATTTCACCATCTATTTTCTATCAGAAGCTAAAGCAGAGTGTGGGACTTTTTTCATGTTCAGCCTGCGTGAAAAACTGAGTGACCGATTATAATCAGAAATAATCATTTAAAAATGTTTTTTCAGTCAACCACACCTTTCAATTCTGAAATTTTAGAGGTGATTCAGCACCACTAAAATGGTCTAAAAACACCTATGGCTGGGAAAATTGTCTATGCCCTTGAAAGGAGACCTGTTTACACTGGCTGCTCACATACTGCTCATTCAGATGTTGTGACCTGAGTTGCCCTTTACCAAAGCCTTGTTTGATGCCTCCTCACACAGGTGAAGTACACACAGGGGGGGCTGGAAAACCTGGAGCTGTCCAGGAAGTATTTTTCTCAGGCGCTGAGGCTGAACAACCGAAACATGAGGGCGTTGTTTGGTCTATATATGGTGAGTACTACTTTGTTAAAGGAAGAGGGGAGAGAGGGAGAAAGAGAGAAAAGGAAAAAAAAAAAAAACAAGAACAGCAGGGCCATTTTTGTAACCTGTGGTTTGTCAAGGTTGAGGTTGGCCACAGTGTGAGTTAAGTAAGACTCTGTGTTGGTGGGGGGAAGAAGAAGGGCTGTCAGAAAGGTCAGCTCACTGCTGACTCAGACAGCGAACCCCAGCATTGGAAAAGGTTGACTTTAGCAGTAGTCTTGCTTTGGTCAGTTTTGTGTTTTGACTTAGATGAATAAAATGGAAACAAAGAAAAAAACGAGACGGATCCCTCCAGCCTCAGCAGGTATTTTGTCATTGCCAAATTATCCAATCAAGAGCTGGTTTGATTGTGGTCTTGGCCAAAATTCCCTTTCATCTGCATCTCTGTTTAAACAGGATGTTGTCTGCTGGTGCCAGAAGAATATACATAAAGGAAAACTGACATGAAAACACAAACAAACCTTTGCAGGGTTTTAAGGTGGAGAAGGAAAGCAGAACTCTCACAGAGAGCTCTAGTGTTTTTCTTCTGCTCAGCCCTGGGATGTTTCAGGTAGTCCAAACATCAAGGAGCCCATATCCTCTGAAACCTCACAGAGGTGGAAGCAGCACGTGCAGGAAGTGCAGGGCAGCGGCAGATCCAAAACATTTGCCTCTGTTAGCCCTCAAGCTGGACTGGATACAGAGCAGCAGGCCTTTTGACAGGGTCCTTAATGAATACCTGAAGCAGGAGTTTAATGTTGATTAAACTCAGATCTGTCTTGATTGCACCTTTTTGCTGTGTTTCAAATCTTGACAGGTGCAGGAAGTTCAGTGAAAGGGCAGAAAACTTTCACCATCTGAAAGCTTCTGAGTCAGTGTGACGGTGGATTTGGTAGTACTGACCACAGCTGGTTTGTGGGTTCCTTACCGACAACACACGCGTGGGGATTCCCCTCTATAACAGAGCTTACCGTTATTCAGGAATAGCCTGTCAAAGTTGACATCGTCTAAACCAAGGTTTCTCTCGAGGTAAAACATACATGTAAATAAATGCTTACTAAAAAAATACAGAAGCCAAACAGTCACCCCCCCAAAAATAAAGGTTGATTGTTATATAATTAAAGTTTCAACACACTGGTTGGGAGAGCTTTGAAGTGCAGGCAGTGTAAGCCCTCTGGGGTTTGCTGTGTGGGGATGATGGCAGGAACATGGGAAAAACATGGGATTTGTGGTTCAGAAGGGAGCTGTCAGGGCAGGCACAGACCGTGATTCACAAGGAACTTCTCTCACTGCTCGTCTGGCTTTTTTCTAACATAGGCCCTTTCATCACCACGAATCAATGGTGTTGGAGAAATTAGGCCCTGTTAAGTGACAATTTACGTATGAGGCATTAAAATACTCACTTTTTCCTCCCTATAAATGATTTCCCCAGTGTCATTAGGCCAAGGTCAGCTTTTTCTCTCCACAATGACTAGTGGAGTGGTAGCTGGTTAGAGTGGTTGCACATTCATCTCAATTATGTTTTTATTGCTGTTTCACAAACTTTTGAAATAAGAACACTTCTCCTGTTCTCTCCTTTGCTTCTTCCTTCTGTTTTATATTTTTCCTGCAGTCTGCAAGTCACATAGCTGCCAGTCCTAAAGTTAGTGCCAAGGTGAAGAAGGACAATATCAAGTATGCTGCTTGGGCTGCTAATCAAATAAATCGAGCCTACAAGGTGAGTCACAAGTAGATCTCTTCCTAAACACGATAGCTTCTCATTTGTCTCCTTTTAGTGGCTCTATCTTCTGCTGAAAGTCATATTTTGTACTTTTTCCCACATCACTCTTCAGTCCCCAGACACTCAGAAACCACTGTTGTTTTAACTTTCATGAGGTATTTGCAAACAACATTCAGACATTCTGAAAACCACCTCATTTACATAAAATGTGGAGTATTTGCTGCCAAATGACCCCAGAATGCACCGCAGTCCTGAAGGCGGCCTCTGACCAGTAATGTTGTAATAACAAACTTACTGTCTTTGTGTGTGTGTGTGTGTGTGTGTGTGTGTGCGTGTGCGTGCGTGCACATATTTGCTGTTAATGTGTTGACTTAAGGCCGCAGTGTCTGCAAATAGTTTATCATACAAATTACATTCAAAGATGAGCTGCTCAAAAAGCCACAAATTGATTTTCAGGGAGTAACCACACTAAATTATAGCTGATTGTGTTCTTACTCAGTATTTTTTTTAACTATGGGTTGATTTCTAAAGAATTTATGAAGTCCCTGGTAAAATTGTTAGAGCTTTTATCTTGTTTCTTTTTCTGTTTTTGGCAACTGTGCAAAACAAGCTAGCTTTTAAACACAAACACAGTCACAGAATTCTCATCCCTCCCGTCTGCTATTGTTTCTTAGGCCACGCCCCTCTGATACCGGAACACACATTGCCACAGTGAAAGAAAGTGCTAACACCAATTGCTGTATTCTAGGTAGAGGTCGACCGTCGACCAATGTTGGCTTTTCTATTGCTGATGCAGATATGTAGGAGACATGATCAGCCCATGGCCGATATGTACTGCAATTTTTTATGGGCAGATTTCCATGGCTAACATCTAGACATTTTACATATTATTTTCATGCTAAAATAAAATGAATTACATCGGTTGATGGACAAAGTTTCTGAAACTGAATCCATTTTGAAATTCTGAATTTAACAGTTAAATCTTAACTTTGTGCACTGCTCAGTGTTAAAGTCGGACACCTAAATAAAGTTAATTTCCAGTTTTTATTATGCAAATGTTATTAGTGAACGTAAAAATACATTTGAATGAAATTCTGCAAAAGCACAGGGCTGCTCGAGGATGTGCCTGACTTTAAATTGGCTCTATTAAGTACAAATATCGGGCAATGCCGATGTATAAAACCGGTAAATATCGGCCCAATATATCATCCTTCCCCTAATTCAAGGTCCAAATGTCTTGTTGTCTGTTACTTCAAAAGGTGTTTTGTAGGGCTGAAACGAATCATTGAATGATTTCATTCATTAAATTCCTTGATAAATTTTTTACTGATTCAAAGCTTTGTTAAATGTGCGCTCCACAGTCTGAAAACGTTTTACTGGAGCACCATGTGGTAATCTAGGTGCTGTGGAGGAAAACAGAGAAACCAGCAAAGACAGAAACCATTGTAAAAGGCAGAAACGGTCCAAAGTTTGGGATCAAGCAGTGTGGGGCAGAGCCGCTGCAGCTACCATTTGGTTGTTGCTACAAGTCTTCTCCATCCGCCGCAGAAGACTGTGGCAAGCCGTTGTAGCATATAATTGACTAACGCTTTTATATTTCAATACAATTTAGACTAAATTATGTTGCCAACCCGTACATAATCAAATAAATAAACCACAAGTACACTGTTACGACTAGAAATTAAATTCTAGTAGCTTACAACTGAACATGTTAATGAAATAACTAAATTATACTGATTATATGTGAATATATTTAGATATGTTATTTTGACTAGGATGAGGTCAATACAAACCTAAATTGTGAATGAAATGTAAGTCAAATATTGTTCCATAAAATATTTATTAACTATAAATATCAACTGGGAAAGAGAACTAGACAACACCAATTTTATATATATATTATTGAGCCTGTTATAAATGTGCTTTTTTATTTTCATATTTTTAGCAGCAGACCATAATCTCGTTTCACTTGAAATGTCATCATATAGAATACTCGATCAATCGATGGAGGATTCGATAGAATACTCAAATACTAAAATATTCAATAGTTGCAGCCCTAGTGTTTTTCTTTTTGGGACTCTGGTAGTTTGTTCTAAAGGTAAAGTGGTAGCAGCCGGCTGTTTCTCCTTATTGAGAGGACAATCTCTCACACCAGTTTTGCGCTGTTGCCAAATGCGCAAGCATGTGATGAGTGGAGGATCCAGGTAAATGTGGAAGTGTGGCGGTTTGGTGAGACAACTGGATGGCCCAATAGTTGGTTTTAGACTACGTTGTGTTTTTAGACAAATTCAAGAGAACCGCTTTGTTAATCTCCACAAAATATCTATAGCTGCACTATGTTAGAACATTGTTAACAGTAATGAAAACATGTTTAAAACTAGCTTGTTTTGCAGATTGGTCCATTGGTTTTGCAAAACCAAGCACATAAATTAAACCACTTCATACAACATTACCTTCTGCAAACTAATACTTGTGATTTAGCCCAATTACTGCACATAATTAATGACATTTTAAGTGTTTCTAAAATATTTATTACCTTTTAGTTTAATGATGCATCACACTGTTTGGCCAGTGATGTATATGAAACAAAGTGAGGTCCAGTTAGCTGTGGTTCCAATTAGGGCTGCGACGATTCGTCGACGTTGTCGACAAATATCGACAATAAAAATAGTCCACAATGAATTTCATTATCAACGTTGTCGCCAGACATGTTTTTTTCCGTTCGAGTGAGGCATTTCACTTCATGACAATCTCTGCTGAGAGTCGCACATGCGCAATAGCTTCTCTGCTGAGCGCCAACTAACAGAAATGGCGGCGTCCAACACAGCAGCTAAGTGTACCAAAACATCAAAAATTTGGCAGCATTCTAGCCTGGATTCGGCGAATAAAAAGATTACCAGCATTATTAGCAAAACGGTCCTTGCGTATCACGGCAGCACCTCAGTGATGCATGAACACTTAAAGAGAAAGCACGTTGGACAGTTGAATGAAACAGAGTCTGACTCACCTCGGTAAGATTTAAATAACACAAATGCCAATACGTTTAGTTTTGGATGTACACTGTACATTTTTTTAACGTATTTTTGCTTTAAAAAAAAGAGAGATTTGATGTTATGCCCGACTGTGCCTGACTGAAGTATTTTTATTTTATATATGCATTTATGTCTATACTGACTGAGCTCTGTGCCTAATTGGTGTTAGACAGGGCACTTTTATTTACTTTTAGTATGAATTGGCCTATCAGCTGCAAAGTTCAATAAAACATGCATTTTCCATTGAAGTACCCATCTTTTTTGTGTTTATTATCATTTTTCACATAATTAATGCAATCTCATGCTAAATTTAAGAAAAAATTCATAATTACCTGATTAGTCGACTAATCGGTTCAATAGTCTGTGACTAGTAGACTATTAAAATAGTCGTTAGTTGCAGCCCTAGTTCCAGTTGCTCTTACATATTGTGTCAAACAGCTCCAACACAAAACCTACAGCCTGCCCAACCTTTTCACCTTAAGCTCATCAAGTTCCAACTTCCTCCTCAGCTTGTGACTACCACTGCACTTTAGTTACAAGGACAAAACCTGACACGCTGATAGATTTGGCCGACTTAAGGATCAAGTTTAGGTCATTTTTATCTGAATATTAGGGGTGTAACGGTACGCTAAAATCATATTCGGTTCAGTGTTTTAAAGAGTTTGGTTCAATTAATTTTCAGTATATTATTCTTACATTTATTTATTTAATAATATCTGAAGCAGCTCCTATAGTGAGCAGAAGCAGGTGTCATCACAGGCTGCTGATCTAACACGATGTCTTTAATTATTTCACAGGTTATTTGCACAGCTGTGAGTGTCCCGTTCATACAGACAAGTGTTGTGTTTGACTGTTGATGCTCCGTGTTTTTATTTCTGCAGCGAGCCTTACAAACTCACTTCACAACGCCCAGAGTCTCTTCTTTATAACTCATATTAAATAATGAGTTTCCTCTGCGCCGTGTTTTTCTTTGTAGGATGAAAACTTTACATCAATTGTCACAGGGAAAAGTTCAATAGACGTGTTTGTTTACATTTTTGCCGGTGCGTGCCGGCAGTGTGAGAGAAGGGAGGGAGGGGCGACACTCCGTTCAGCGTCTCTATGGGCTCCAGTAGCAGCAACAGCCAACTGGTTTGATCCGCTCTAAAAGGTGTTGGTCAGAATTTGCAGATCATATTTTTTAAACAGATATCAGGCATGTGCAGCCATCATGCGTCACTCAATACAGCATCCATATAGAACTTTTTATACTGAAATACACTGTACTTTCTGCAGTACCACTCCTAAACAGCAGGTGGTGCAACTGAGAAAACAACATAGCTGCAGGAACAGTAGAAGTACAAGATTCATTCACAAATGTAAAGTTTGTAACCTTTTGATCCACAGTAAGGATAAACATCATAGCATAGTTTTGAAAAAACAATAGTCTAAGTAATGTCATTGTTTTTTATATACCATGGTACACTCGTGCATTTATCTTTTTTTACTTTCAAATCTGATCATTGTTATATAAAAGTTGTTTTTACTATCAGATTTAGTCTGACACATTTTTTGTTGACTAGATTTTGTAGTGTTTTAATGAGCCTGATAACTGAGCTCCTTTCTGTCTCTCTACTGCTCTTTTATCTCAAGTTTTGTTTAAGTTACCCCACGACGGTGGGGTTGTAAATTTGGATTTGGCTCTTTCTGTGTCCATGTGGGACGAGGTAAGTGATTAGGTGTGAGGTTGCCGTCTTTATCTCTTCAGTCCCACCTCTGGTTAAATGACTTCAGAGATCTTTACAGGGAGCTGCAGGCTGCTGTGGGTTGGTGCTGGCTGATTGATGGCCCCTTTAAAGTGTTGCTTGTGTCACTCGTCCAGTTTTATTAGACTTCAGTACCTGGTGATTGTCATACCTCAGTGTTTAGAAAAACTGGCCAGGTGAGCATAAGTGGCAGCAGACTTCAGCTAGAGGTCATGACTGA